GGAGATGCTGAGCAGGCAGCTTAGTGATTGGTCCCTTCACCAACCAACTCTGAAGAATGTTCTGAAGAATGTTTGCTGAGGTCCCGGGACTGGGGTAGATGATCAGAATGTATGCCCAGGTCTGGTCCAATGTTCTACTATCCCAACTTATATTTCCCTTGTTCACAGAGCAACCCTAGGAGTCTACGAAGCCTACAGGGTAGCTTTATAACAACTTACACCTCCACTCCAGGCATCTGTACTTCATCCAGGACTCTCTTTGTACAAACAGAATTCTTACTTCAGATGTGCTCCTGTGCTGGGGATATAGCTCAGTTGGTACAGTGCTTGCCTCTTATGCAAAAGCCCTGGGTTCAATCCTCAGTACCACCAATCAATCAATCTACTCCTTTCTGAAGGGAAGTCAGGGATTCTTCTGCCTCCCTCATAGTGTACCTCCTAAGTCTGAGTCCTCACCTTCCTCATTAAAGAGCCCATGTGAAATAAAACAAGATTCTTCCTTTTCAATCTGATCCAGAGGCCAAGCCCTGGTCCTGTGCACATCTTCTAACCCTTTGAAAGTTCCAGACCTGCTACTTTCCCTGATTTGGGAACTCACGTCTGTTCCATGGGATGTCTCCACCTGACATCTCGGAATCACCATATCCACAATCTATGATCTATGACCTATGACCACACTGAAAGAGGCTCCCCAACTCCATTCTTTCTGATTTTCAAGGCAAAATAAGAAAAAGAAAGAAAACCATGAGACCGACCAGACCTTTATTCCCTACTGTCCCTTAGCCGTAGGGAATGTGGCAGGAATCCTGCACCCACTCCCACTTCTGGCACCACGGATCACCTAGGGTCTTCTGCAGTGACCTCCTTATCACCACCCCACCTTCTCTCCCTTCCTTCCCACCCCACTGTAAACCTCCCACCTGGGCAGGCCACCATGGAACTGACCCACCTCCTGGCCAACCTTCCAGGGCTCCCCGCCAGCTCCCCATCCCTGCAGGGCTGCCCACTCGGCCGCGCCTACAGCCTTTACGCACACGCCTTGTCACAGGCTGAAACCCGACCCCACGCAGGAGCCCCGGGTGGGGACACGGGCCTGGCCCCGGGGACATACCCCCCACGGAGTTGAGCTCCTGGGTGCCCTTCCAGGATCAGTCGCTGCAACTCGGGGCTGCAAGCACGAGGCCCGTCCTCCGCCTCGGGACCCAGGAAGGCGCCCCCACGCAGCGCGCCCTCAGCGACCCGAGCTGGGCATCCCTGGCTGCGCTCAGGCCTCCTGGCACCGCACTCTGCGGGGAAAGTGGCCCCTACGCCTCTGCCCGCCCGCTCCCTAGGGCAGATCCCGCCTGACTCTTGGGGTGAAAGCCAGGCTGCGCTGGAGGCCTTGAGAAAGGGCCTCATTTGGGGGCTGGGCCTTAGCTCAGTGGCTGGGCCCTGGCCTAGCACGCGTGAGGCCCTGGGTTCGAGCCTCAGCGCCACCAAACGAACAAATAAAATAAAGGCCTTCTGAACCGGGGGGTGTGGGGTGGGGATGGTACCGGGGGTTGAACCCAAGGCGTTTTACTACATGCCGCCCCAGTCCCTTTACTTTTTATTGAGATGAGGTCTTGCTGTATTGCTGAGGCTAACTGACGTGGAATCCTTCCTGCTTTCTGAGTCACTGGGATGTGGCTAGTTTACAATTTTTGACATTCGCTTCATATTTAACTGAACCTAAATATAACTTACTTAAGCTTTATTTTCCTATAGTATGGACCGTTTTTGCTCAGAGTGATTTGTCAAACATCAAGCAAGGCACGTTGCTATTTACTCCCAATGCACCTATAATGCATAGTGCAGCCCCATGCTCCCTCTTAAAAAACTAGATGCTGGTTTTTGCACAAACATGGATAAATATTTTTAAATGCTATATCAGCATCTATACGAGAGTAACTGTAGGATCTCATTTACAGTAAATTATTAGAGAATCTAAACTAAACTATAGCATTACAAATGAAGTTAGTGGTGGCCAGCAAGTGGTTCGTGCCTATAATCCCAGTGGCTTGGGAGGCTGAGACAGGAGAATCCTGAGAGTTCAAAGCCAGCCTCAGCAAAGGCAAGGAGCTAAGCAACTCAGTGAGACCCTGACTCCAAGTAAAAATACAAAATAGGGCTGGGGATGTGGCTCAGTGCTCAAGTGCCCCTGAGTTCAATCCCTGGTACCAAAAGGAAAAAAAAAAAAAGAATTCATCCTTTTATTCTAGCAGAGACCAATTCTGTTCTGAACTAATAGCACATAGTAGATACCTAAGACTTGTGGTAGCTTAAATAATATGAAATTATTACAAAACTGGAGAGAAGGGAGGAGTTCATGGTATGGTTGACTTGGAGCTTGGAAAAATCTATCCTTGGAGTCACAAAATGACAAATAATGCCCTGAAGGAAAACTTGAACAATCTTCCAGTCAATACCAGCCCCTGTCTTTTGTCCAAAGCTGACATCCACAAACCAAACCAATCATAAAGGAAGGCCCAAAGGTGTCAAATAATTGGTGAATCCTCCAGTTGAAATAAGAGAGTACGGCATGATGTCATATCTGAGCATTTTAATGTGACAAAGTTATTACACACTGTGGTTCTCTGCACATTGCTAGAGGGAAGATGACTTTTGTAAAAAAGGAATAACTCTGACAAAGGTGCCAGTCAAACTCTGTAGTACCACACAGTTCACAAATTTTCCCATATATGTGGCAACACAGCAAATAATCCTAATGTGGACAGTAGGGGATCAATTGCTGACTACCTCCTTATAAAACGAATCACTAGAGACTTGCTGTAATGAGTTATGTTGAACAAGGAAAGAACGCACTGCTTGTACTCCTAAGGCCTTTCTCCAGTGTGAATTTCCTGGTGTTGAATTAAGTCAGAAAAATGGCTAAAGAATTTTCCAACATCTACTGCATTTGTATGTGTATGTGTTGCTGAGAATTGAACCCAGGGCTTTGCACATGCTGCATAACTGAGCTACATCCCACTGCCCACTGCAATTTTAATACCTTTCTTGGTATAGATTGTTTTTTGAAACAAAGTTCACTTCATGGCAAGAAATAACATAATGTCACTTTAATATATATTAAAGGCAAAAGTATTTATTATTTACAGCTAGGAAAGAGAAAACTCAAGCAGGAACCCACAGGGAATAGCATCAGGGCAGCCACAGCAACCTGAAGTTGTAGGGGACAGTTTATATGAGACTACTGGATTTAATTAGCTGTTTCCCAGATTCCCTGTGAATGGGCTAATTTAAGTAATTGGATATAGATATAATTAGCTGCTCCAAAAGAGGAACTGACCTACTTCTAGCCTAGGCCTCCAAGTGGATTCAGCATTATATTCATTTAAAAAAATTTAAAAGTATGTATCCAATAGTAATACTCTCATAAAGGTATATAGATCAATTGAACAGAATTCAGAAATAAACCCTGGCATATGTGCTCAAATGATTTTGAAAAGGGTTCTAAGCCTACTCAATAGGGAGAAAGGACAATCTTTTCAATATATTGTGCTTAGAAAGCTATATACCCACATGGAACAGTATGAAGTTAGAGTTTGGCCTAATATTTTGTTCCAAAATAAACCTAAGTCACACACAATGACACATATCTGTAGACCCAGCTACTCCAAAGGCTGAGGTGGAAGATCACTTGTGCCCAGGTGTTCAGCCTGGGCAATGTAGCAAGACCCTATCTCAAAAGAAGATCAAAGACATAAACATAAGGCCTTAGGGAAAATGCTTCAAGACACTGAATTTGACAGTGATTTCTTGGTTATAACATCAAAAGCACGGATAAAAATTAACTAGACTACATAACAATCAAAATTCCTTCAAACAACATCAAAGGATACAATCAACAAAACCAAAAGGTAACCTATGGATTGGGAGAAAATATTTGAAAAGCATATATTTAGGAGGAAATTAAAATCCAAAATGTTTAAAAAATTTCTACAGGTCTACAAAAAAAAATCAAATAGCCCATTAAAAAATGGGAAAATGACTTGAAAAGATATTTCTTCAGATATACAAATCTGAAGAAGCACAGGAAAAGATGTGTCACTAATGGTTAGCAGTATAAAAGTAAAAAATGCAGGGCTCCACCTCACACCCAAGATAGCTGCTAAAAAACAAAACAAAACAAAACAGGGTTATGAAGTGGGTTATGAACTCCCAATTTTACCCCAAATGCAGATTGCAGAATCACTTCAGTTACACATCCACAATTTTACATAATGCCCTATTAGTAATTGTATTCTGCTACCTTTCCTATCCCCTACTTCAATCTAATGTATGAAATATGATATGTCAAGAGCTTTGTAATGTTGTGAACAACCAATAAATTAAAAAAAAAAAAAACAGGGGCTGGGGAAGTGGCTCAAGCGGTAGCGCGCTCGCCTGGCATGCGTGCGGCCCGGGTTCGATCCTCAGCACCACATACCAACAAAGATGTTGTGTCCGCCGAGAACTAAAAAAAATAAATATTAAAAATCCTCTCTCTCTCTCTCTTTTAAAAAAAAAACAATTCCCTCTCTCAGAGAGAGAGAGAGATAGAGAGAGAATGAACTGAAATATTGGCATATTGGCAAGGATATAGAAAATGAAACCCTTGAGCACTGTTGTGAAAACATAACTGGTGTAGATAGTATGAAAAACAGTCCCTAAAAATATTTTATGATCCAAAATTTCCCCTTCTGGGCATATACCCTAATACCCAAACAGAACTGAAGTGGGGATTCAAAAAGCTATGTGTGTATGTTTATGCTCATAACAGCACTTTCCCTAGTAGTCAAAAAGTAAAAGAAACCCACTGTCCATTAACCAACGAATAGATAAAGAAATGTGTTATGTACATACAATGGAATATTAATTCACTGGGGAAAAGTCAGTGGGGTGAGGATTTCTGACACATGCTACAAATGGGTGAACCTTAAGAACATTGTCCTAAGTGAAATAAGTGTTTCACAAAAAGATGAATGTTGTATGACTCTACTTATATAAGATGCTAATAGGTAACAAATCCATAGAACAGAGTATAGAAGAGTACTAGTCAGGGGCACTTAGGAAAGAGGAGAATAGGGTATCACTTCTGCAAGACAGAAAGGTTTCTGAGACCAACTGCATTTGAAATATGAATTTACATAGCATTAACTGTCAATTTAAAATGGTCAATGGTAAATTTTCTTCATTGTGAAATTTCTAATGTTTAATAAAGCTGGAGCTGTACTTAAAGAAAGCCCCACACCTACAGGACAGACAAGTCTCTCTTCACTGTGGATTTTCTGGTGGTGAACCAGATGGGATTTCCTAATGAAGGCCTTCTGGCACTCACTGCATTCATAAGGTCTTTCTCCAGTGTGGATTTTCTGGTGCTCAACAAGTATATGTTTGTGGCTAAAGGCTTTCCCACATTCACTGCATTCGTAAGGCCTTTCTCCAGTATGATTTCTCCAATGTTTAATGAGGTTGGAGTTGTACCTAAAGAATTTTCCACATTGACTGCACTCGTAAGGCCTTTCTCCAGTGTGAACTCTCTGGTGTCTAATGAGTCTGCAGTGGTACTTAAAGGATTTCCCACATTCACTGCACTTATAAGGCCTTTCTCCAGTGTGATTTCTCCAATGTTTAATGAGGTTAGAGTTGTACCTAAAGAATTCCCCACATATGCTACACTCATAAGGCCTTTCTCCAGTGTGAAGTCTCTGATGTCTAATGAGTGTGGAGTTGTACCTAAAGAATTTCCCACATTCACTGCACTTGTAAGGCCTTTCCCCAGTGTGAACTCTCTGGTGTTTAATGAGTGTGGAGCTGTCCATAAAGAATTTCCCACATTCACTGCATTCATAAGGCCTTTCTCCAGTGTGAACTCTTTGATGTCTAAAAAATGTGGAACTGTACCTAAAGAATTTCCCACAAATGTCACACTCATAAGGCCTTTCTCCAGTGTGAACCCTCTTATGTCTCATGAGTCTATAGTTGTACATAAAGGATTTTCCACACTCTCTACATTCGTAAGTCCTTTCTCCACTGTGAATCCTCTGATGTTTTACAAAGTTGGCATTGTACCTAAAGAATTTCCCACATTTGCTGCACTCATAAGGCCTTTCTCCTCTGTGGCTTTTGTGGTGCTCAAGCATTGAATGTTTGTATCTGAAGGCTTTCCCACATTGACTGCATACGTAATCACTGAGTCCACTCTGAAGGGCTTTCTTGCCCTCAGTTTCCCTGTCTGGCTTCCACCCACAGTGAGAGACTTGGTGCTGGAGAAGGCGTGAGGTGGCTGGCAATTCTTTCCACTCTTCCCTGCATGTGAGGGCCCTCTCTGCCATGTGAACTCCGTGGTTCTTCAAAAATGAAAGTTTCCAATTGTCCCTTCTGGAAAGATTCTTTTCAATCTGCTTTTGGGGCTGGTAAGGCTCTGACTCACAAATATGTATCTTTCGTTCAGTTTGTGTTCTATTTTGTTCAGCCAGGTGCAGAATATCTTTCAAGAGCGGGTCACATGTCTCACTAGGCTGGGCATTCTGGGTGGATGAACCTGGCTTTGGAGTCCTGACCTGTGGTGCTCCTACAGAAACACCTTGCTCAGGAGCTGCCTTCTCAGCCTCGGCTCCATTCCAACAACCTGTAAGGACAGAAATATGATGAAGTGCAAGTTGACTCTGATGAGAGGGGGAGCCCCATCATAAATGTGTGTCAGACGTCCATGAATAAGTTCATGGCTTTGCTGACAGGAGGTGGATATAAAGCCAGTGAGGAAGGCCTGCAGCACAGAGCTGGGCCTGTCAAGCTTCCATGGTGGAAAGCTCTGACAATGGATAAAGACACAAAATGGGACTATGGTGTAGGGGAAAGAAGCAGGCCCTCCAACCTACTGCTCTGCAAATGATTTCAACAGGCCATGGCTGTTTGTGACTGGTGAACAGTATGTAGGAGGCCTGGCTATTTGTGACTGTGAACATGTGTAGAAGGCTGTATCCAGACCTGGGGACACTTATTGGTGACAGCATCAGGTGTTCAATGTGGAGATGCATGCAGACTTCACAACTCCTTAAGTAAAGCTCACGTGTTGGAGGGCCTTGTGAAGGGAACATTGGGGGGAATGGCTGAGAGGTGGAGGCCACAAAAGATGGGGAGGGGATGTGTGGCACGAGTGGTAGACGAGGGCAGGACCTCAGAGTGGATATGACAATGGAGAAGAAAAGGTATAAATTGTGGCCTCTGGCCCTGGCATCAAACAATGGTGAGCTCAGGGAAGGTTCCCAGTGCGATCTGAACCCAGCTCTGACATCACCCTTTCTCAACTACCAGCCAACAGAACCAAACCCCTTTAAGACTCTATGACAATTGCTAAAGTAACATTCACCCTCTCAGGTACCAGGGGCTCTCCCTATCACTCAACTGCATGAGACCTGGAAAAGGCTGGTCCCAGGGAAAAGAAGGAAACTGGACAGAGATCCACCCCATGACATCCCACATTCCATAATCATAAGAATGTCAGAGAACAGTCCTGCAGAATCAACCCAGTGGCCCCCAAATTCATGATCATTGCAGTGCCAGAAATTCCTGTTCCAGGCCAGGCTATCTGGCAAGGGACAGGCAAGGTCAGGAGAATCTCTGAGATAAACTTGACATTTCTGACTTGAGTCTTTCTTGCAAGCCCTCAGAGCAGTGGGGGATGGGCTGCTAGGGTAGAACTGGAGCTGTGGACAGAGCCCTGGCCTGGCCTCCACAACACACCTGCTTGGAAATCAGGGAAGGAAGTAGACCCATGAACATACCAGGAAAACAGAGCTGCCCTTGGGTAACAGGGACAGGAGCCCAACCAAAGATAATGTGTAGAAGTGAGAGCCTTACCTAGTGAGGACAAAAGTGTCAAATTCTCCAGCATCACCTCACAGTACAGGAATCTCTGAGCCTCATCAAGGTGCCCCCACTCTTCCTGGGAGAAATATATGGCCACGTCCTCAAAGACCACACGACCCTGCCACAGTAGAAAAAGTTCAGTAGATGAGAGCCTTCTCTTCAAACTGGGTTGTGTTAGATTTTACATTGATCTATGTGGCACCCATTAATTACGGGGCTAAACTAACAGGTTTGTTTACATCTCCTAGGCCATGCTAAGCCCACATTCAGAGTGACCTCCTCATCCAACTCTCACAGATCAAGCCCGTGGTCCCCTTGTCCTAAGTCAAACCAGGGCCAAACCCTGGTGCCCCAGGAATGCTGGAATTATTTAACACCCAAATCTAAGCTGGTCATCCTGCCCTGACTTGTCTTTTCCTTGGGAACCCCAATAATGACCATGGCCTAAACTTCCCCTTTGCTCCTGACTTATGCCTTGTGACCAATCAATTCTTTTATGTGGCCCTGCAACATGTGCATGAATTGTTCTTGGAAAAATGTAAGGAATAAATTCCTTCTTTTATTGTCATTGGCATATACCTGTCGTCACTCATTCATATCCATAAAGTTACGCCCCATGGGTTCAATCACGGCTACACCTCTGTCCAGTTTCCAGTCCTTCCCCTCAACCACTCACTACAAAATCTCCTCCACACCTCCCAAAGTAGAAGAGCAGCTCATTGTCATGATCCCCACTGTGTTTAGCACACAGAAAAACAGGCTATGGGCCTGGCATACAGAACTCTATCCCCTCAGGCCAGCCAGTTTCCCTGGGCCCCCCAGATCTTGCTTCCCAGACAACCAAACTTGGACTCACCCCTCTCCCTCCTGTGCCCAGTTCAGAGCCTAGAGTTAACCACTAACAATTCTCCAACATACACATCACTCTTTGAACTGCACTTTGATCACAGCTTTGGCTCCTCCACTACTACAGTTCCAGAGACACCTCCCAGACCACACCACAGATATTTCCATTACTCTGCAATATGGAAACAAGGTAGCATAGAGCAAATACAACCAGTGGCCAATTTGGCCCCAGTCCTGGTATATAACACCAGATTTCCCAGGGGTAATCAAAAGGACCAGGGGTTGATCAAAGCCCTGCTGTGACGGTCTCCAATCTAGCCCCTTTTTCAACTTCACTCAGCCACCCAAGCCTATGCAGGGACCTCAAACACTATGGCTATCCAGCTTCTGCACTGCATTTCTTGTCCCATAAGCAGTCATGATCATCTGCTCTCCACCAAAACTTCATTCAAAACCCAGCTGCACTGACCTTCAAATCTTCACACAAACCCTCACCCCACCTCACCCCAATCAAGGCTTAGCAAGGTTATTGATCCCCTTCCCCCTGCCCCCACAGTATCCATATCATGTTCACTTGCTCCTCATTCTGTCTTATTCCTCCACTCCACTATCTCACACATACACTCTCACACTCTGAATCCTCATTGGTATTTTGTAACTCCAACCACTAGCATCTAAGCATCCCACTGAGACATGCAGTTTGCAGTCCCCCTGACTCTCACTCCTTATCCTTAAATAGCATTACCACGATAACCTACAGATGCTGCCTTCTAGTTCTGACTCACAACTTCATTCTCAGTCCCACACCAGCCACCATGCTGTGCATGTCTCCAATATGGAGTCCTCCACCAGGAGTCACCACATCACTTTCTCTCTTTTTTAAATAAATGTGTATATTCGTGTGTGTGTGGGGGGGAGGTGGACACAATACCTTTATTTTATTTTTTTTATGTGATGCTGAGGATCAAATCCAGTGCCTCACACATGCCAAGCAAATGCTTCACCACTGAGCCACAACCCAGCCCCACTTATCACTTTCTATATTGTGAAATATGGGCAGCTCCAGTACAAAACATATTGCAAAGCCAGAGGGAGTCCTTTAAGTCTGAGTCATAACATGGCCCTCTTCTGCTTCAAATCTTCTTAGATTCTACCCCCCTGAAATAAGAGGAACAGAACCTGAGGCTGTCATTCTAGGCCTGATGTCTGTGTCTCTATCCACCCCTCTCCCTGCTCCCCACGCCTACCACACATAATAGAGACTTGCAGTTCCCTGAAAATGTCTGCTCTGTTTCACCTCCAAGCACTTGAACATTCTAGATCCTGTGCCTTGTACCTTACCCCATCAGCTGACAAAAACAGGAATGACCCAAGACCAAATATAGGATATTGGACCTGGTGGAACCCATTCTTCAGACATGAAAGAGGGGAGAAGGGCAGACAAATAGTCCTTATATTGAGGTGCCAGAGCCATATGGGAGGTAACAGGGTGGTTGAAAGGGAACTCTCTACTCACCTGTGCAGGGTTCATTTCTGCCATTGCCAGGGGACCCTGAGGGAAGAGGGAGGTCATGAGAAATCACAATCACAGTAGAACCTACAGGTTGAGTTGGACCACCACCTCTTTGCCCGGCCTTGGATCAAACTGACCTCAAGCTGATTTTATGAACTCAGCTTCTCAGACCTCAGTGCTCAGAGGGGCTTAGCAGATCTGTGACTCAGGGAAAGAACTAAACCTTCCTGGGCTTCATCTCTAAATAGAGGAGAAGAATGGTTCCTACTTACAGGGCTCATATAGGTATCAAACATTTGAAGCACACACTACAAATCAGATAATTCTATCCATAGGATTGTTTTATAAGTTTTCAATACAAATGAAGTACTATGGCTTTGAAATTGGATGTATCCTTTCAGCTTTTTTTTGATGTTGTAGAGGATATGATATGAAATTTTCCATAGTAAGCAAATAGAGATAAATTAATGTCAAACTAATCATGAAGTTTGCAGAACTTGCACTTACTGAGTAACTTCACTTGTATTTATTTATTGAGACACAGTCTTAGATCCTCACTAAGTTACTGAGGCTGGCTTTGAACTTGCAATCCTCATGCCTCAACCTCCCAAGTCACTGGGATTACAGGCATGCACCGTGGAACCCAGCTAAATGATTTCACTTCTAATTGCCTATACATATATATATATATATATATAAAGATACTGGTTAATTAGTATTTAAATCAATAAGTAGTCGAGCTGGAGATGTGGCTCAAGCGGTAGCCTGGCATGCGTGCGGCCCGGGTTTGATCCTCAGCACCACATACAAACAAAGATGTTATGTCCGCCGAATACTAAAAAATAAATATTAAAAAACTTCTCTCTTTAAAAAAATAAAATAAAATAAATCAATAAGTACTTCATACATTCTCAGAATAATGAGCTGTAGGAAGAGGCTGAACAGGCAAGTCAGCTACTTGTCCTTTCTGCAACCAGGCCTGCTTACATAACAGGGAAGAGAACTTGTTGGCGTCTCTTGACTACAATAGCTAATTATCCCCTCTTGCCTTAAAATGTGAGGGAGGAAAAGAAGCAGTGTTCTGGTCTGGAGTCTATCTGCTACACTAGCCTACATGACCTTTCTTTTGTTCTACAGTGATCCTAAAGGTCAGCCAAGTCTTCAGGTGGAGAGTATGAACAATCTAACATCTTGGTCTCCATCCCAGGCCAGCTCCAAGTTACCAAGACTGTCCTCAAACTTGAATCCTCTTGCCCCATCCCGTCAGGTTGCTGGGATCATAGGCATGCCACACCTGCCCAGCCAAATCTCCTTTTTTGCATACATGGTCCAGAATCCCTTCTTGGCCTGGTTTGCAGCTCTCTGAAGAATCGGGACATGGTCTGCTTCATGTCTCAGCCAACCCCAGAGAGCCCCCACAGTCTTAAAACCTTAAGACTTCCTCACCCAATTGGGCCCTCAGGCCCTTCCCACACTTTCCATCCCTTTGATATTTCCAGCCCAACCCTCTTCCTCACACTGTAGGCCCCTATGTCCACCTATCTATTTGCTCTCTCCACCTTGAGACATATAGGAAGAATATGGCTAAAGTAATCCATGATCTTCTTCCTGAAACCTGTTCCCACTCCTAACTTCCCCAACACCATTATTTCAAATGTTGAGGAGCGGCAGGAAATCCTTTAGGCTCTGTCTGTAAGATCTCCAAAATCTCATCACACTACTCCTATGCGGGCACCATTCTCGTCAAGCACCTACCATAATATTCCTGGGGTCCATTGCTGTTACCTCACCAGTCCCTCTGCCTTAATTCCCCATCTTATCTCTCTGTAAACTCCCTTTTTCTTTTCTTTCTTTCCTTTTTTTTTTCTTTTTGGTACTGGGGATTGAACTCAGGGGCACTCACCACTGAGCCACACCCCAGCCCTATCTTGTTTTTTAGAGTCAGGGTCTGAGTTCGTCCTGCCTCCCTCCGCCGGCCGCCCGGCTTCCCTCTGGACACGCCCCCGCCATTCACCCCGCCTACAACCTTCCGCAGCGGCCCCGCGGGAGGCCCGCCGCACACTCCGTCTCACCCGCTCCCCGCAGGGCGACGCCGTTTCCCGCAAACGGGGCGGGGACGGGGACGTTTCCACCCCGGGTCACATGGCTGAACCTGACCCCACGGGAAGCGCCTCTGCTCTGGGCCGGCCCTGGCTGCCGGCTCCCGCACTCTGTCGGGGGCAGGTCGGGCACTCGGGCAGCGAGGCCGAGCTCAGGGGCGCCGCCTCCGCCCGCCCAGCCGGGCAGCGGGGAGCGAGGCAGGGGTGGGCGAGGGCCTGGGTAGGGACAGTGCCGCCTTCGCCAGCCAGGATCAGCTCAGGCTCGTCTCCGGCTTCGGGTGTGGGCGCCAAACCTCTTGCGCTTTCCCGCTGTCACCGAGGTGACAGCCAAGTACTCCATAGGCCCGAAGGGATTAAGAAACCCAAGAGCAACCAAAATGACTGTCGCCGGAAGTCCCGCCCCGCGTGTTGCGCACGCACGTCAGTGACGCTGCGTAAGCTTTCATTGGGCCGGTCGCTGCGACCTCCGCGAGGACTTCTGGGTAGGGGAGTTTGCACACCGCTGCCCGTCTCCTTTCAGTGATTTGGCCACGCCTTGTTTGCTAAAGGCGGGTGGCACTGGTGGGACCCTGAGAAGTGGGGTTCCAGTGCTGCAAAGATAGGAAGCTTTTTGTTAAAGGCGACATATCAAGTTGTCTTGGAGTGTAGGAGTCTGACAGAAGTTTTAGAAACCCCATTATTTCAGACTCTGAAGCATAAGATCCTAAAAGACTGCTTAGCTAAAGGGATACACTACGCCCTAAAGGGACTCCACATCCTCTAAAGTTTTTGGTTGTCTTGTTGCTTTTCAAATACATGTAGAGATAAGCTTTTGGAGTTATTTGATAGTCTCAAGGGGACGAAGTGTATATATACCTCAGTTGTGATGCGTGGGCAGGACTGTAGGTTTAGTCTCCACCACTAATATAAAAATAATAACAGTAACAATAATCTTCAATATGTTTGGCCTAGGAGAAGAAAGAAAGACTAGCAGTGGGAATGTGGAGGAGGGATGATAAGATGTACTGATGTGAATTGAAAGGGCAAAAGTGTGATTCCAAGAGCAAACATCCTTCCTGGCTGTATAGTCAGTGATTGTCTTCCTACCTAGGGAACAACAGTTTTATTCAAATAATGTATAATTATTTAATATCTAAAATAGTTTCAAGCTATTTTAATACTCTCAAACTAAAAGTGAGAGAACTGATCACTGTGCTATTTCCTGCCAAAACAATGTGTGCTGTTTGTGTAGTAGAAGCACATGTGCAAAAGCATGAATATTAACCCCGAGAAAAGGTGTGAGATTCCTTCATTTTATCTTGCTGAAAAGTGGTTTTCATTTCATTTTTAAATGCCACACTATCTGCACATTGTTAAAATTCGGAAAACACTTGTGAAATGGAAGTTATCAAGAGCCATTTTTAATGATTGTGTAGTTATTCAAAACCAGTTCTAGAGAGTAATATCTATTCAGTATGACCAGCTCAGTAAAGTTGGAGAGAACTAAGTCAAGAAATCAGAAAATTAATCTGAGCCTGTTACTGTACAGAAACATTTGCCACACTCATGTTTTAATGTGATACCTTTTCTTCTCCTCTTCCCCTTCTCCTTGAACCTGTCTGTCTGTCTCCCCCAACCACATACTGAGGATTGAACTCTGGGCCACTTTACCACCTAAATATACCCCCAGTTCTTTTGAGACAGGGTCTTGCTAGGTTGCTGAGGCTGGTCTTGAACTTGCAATGCCTCAGCCTAGAAGGTCACTGGGATTACAGGCATGCACAGAATGCCTGATTCTTTTTTCATTCTTCATTAACTGTTTGGTGGAAGAAGTGGATAATAAATTGAGAGACTTGTCACAGGTTAAAATGCAGTGATGAGTATTTACTGCTTTATCAAATGTAGTATGTAATGTTTCAAGCACAATAGTAGATGCACTGAACACATTGGGTGTAGGGTTTCCAGTTTCTCTGTTTACAGAACTGCTTTCTTAGATTCAGAATTTTTTTAAAAAAATATTTATTCTTAAGGTTTTTTTTAGGTGGACACAATATCTTTATTTTACATTTATGTGGTGCTGAGGATCGAACCCAGTGCCTCGTGCATGCTAGGTGAACACTCTACCACTGAGCCATAACCCCAGGCCCCTTAGATTCAGAATTTGTCTACTTGGCGTTCATTAATCACAGGACCAAACAAACAGTTTTTTCCTCTCTTGCATGTATTTTTAAATGCCACACTATCTGCATATTGTTAAAATTCGGAAAGCACTTGTGAAAAGGAAGCTACCAAAAGCCATTTTTAATGATTGTGTAGTTATTGTGTATGCAGAACTCATACTGTAGTCCCCCAAAGTGACCTGGCTCCCTGATCACCGAGCTGCAATAGCCATTGTTGAGGCAATGGTGAAAGAGTGGAGCAGTGGCTAGGGTGGGGTGAAGGGAGGGTGGCAAGAATGGGCTGCACTGCCTGTGAAGCTTGCCCTTCTGGCCCAGGCCTGAGGCATGTGAGCAAGGCCAAGACAAGCCAGGGTACACCAAACCGTCACACCACTGTGGGCCAGCCTGGCCTCAGTGCAAATGCCTACTTCACACAGCACTGCACCACAGACCTCAAACTCTGGCTTCCTGATGAGCATCAGGGAAATAGAAGTTGGGTAGACCTGAATGGAGACTGGAGGATGAACAAGTCTTTTTTTTTTTTTCTTTCAAACTCTCACTAGTATAAATTTGGGCAATGGCCATTGACCCAAGTTCTATATAAACGTCTAGACCAGCACAAGCAGCAACCCCTCTCACCTTGTGAGAGCTCTCTTTTCTTCTCATATGAATAAATCCTAATATTTTACATTCATTCTTCCTCATCTGTGAATGTCATTCTTCAAATCCACAAGAACCCACAAAGAAGAAATTGGCAGTGAGTTTCTGGGTCTGCTGCAACACAGAAAAGCATAGCCTGACATTAGGAGCCACAACACACCCCTGAATGGCAGCGAGGAACTGCAGTGAAGGCTTTGCCAGATGTGACCCTCAGAGCTGATGCTGGCAGGATCCCCTGCCTTGATTAGCTTTGAACACGACAACAGGCTTTCTCAGATGTAGAAGCCAGCAGCTTGTGCAGACCAGACCTACCTGTAGAAGTGGAGAGACTCCAGTTTCAAAACCACAAACCCTAACCTGCACATTCTCTTCCTGCCCAGTGGGGATGTTCCTCACCTAATTATTCCTTATACTTTACACAAAACTCATAGTCACCATTACTTTATTCTTGTCTTCCTCTCTTTCTACACACACCTTCTCCTTTCATGGGCTCCCTGACTCCATTTGTATGGTTGCTGAGTGTGCCCTTCTACTTCAATATCTGTAATAGAAACTTTGTATCTTGTGCATCCTGATTATTGAAGGAGTGCTTTCAGTCTGAAAGATCCCAAGTTAAAACACTAATATAAGATCCTAAAAAAAGAAAAAAGTGTGGGTCAGGGCAGTAGTGAACTGGCAGAATATAGGACTTCATATTTTCTGTGGAATATTTTAGCCAACTGGACAATACCCCCCAAATAGATTAAAACAAGTTTGACCACATCTGTGACCCTACCATTTTTATTCTAGGATTTTGCCCAGGTAAGTGAATAAAATACCATCTGACAACTTGGTTACAGGTGACACTGTAAAAAGTACATTTCCTTACCTATTCAATTACCTTTTTGAATTCACCTTTGTGAATTAACATGAGAGTCTCAATTTAGTCAGAAGTCTTGCACTGATACCTCTTAGGGAAAATAACTTAGGCAATGCCATTTTAAAACATACTCATCCTAGAACAACTGAGCCTGATCTAAACCCCAGACAATACCCTTTAACAAGAATTGTTATCTGGGACTAAAACTTGAGAAACACCCTGTTCAAAATGGAACAGTGATGACCACAAAGAATGATGGTGACAACTGTGGTTGTTCTGGTTACTGGTGGGGTCAATTGGTCATTCGGCTACCTCAGTCGTCGGGGGTAGACATGGAGTCAATATCCAGACACCAGGGGCTGGTGAGAAGCTGGCTGGTAACAAACCTCAGTTGATGTCCAGCAGCCCGTTTATTTTTGGAATGCATACGACTGTTATAGGGTACGAGTGGGGCATGCCTGTCAATCATAGATAAGCAGGATAATATTCATAAGCCAATCACCTTATGCCTAATGTAGCCGAACTATCAGGAAGCTCTAAATATTGCTGTCATGGTGGAAAACAGTCTGGAAGGGTCTTTGTTCCTAGGGGAGGGAGCCTTTTGAGTCAGGGGTTTCAAGCCCTGAAGCTCCCGACTATCGGTTCCTGGCCTGGTAGTTTGGCAACGCTAACCACAAGTGCTGAGGATGTGGTTTCACTTATGGCTTGCTAGAGCAGAGCACCCCTTCCTGCCGGTGTTCCTGTCAGGCTTAAACAAGCATAGATTCTTCAAGCACTCCAAGCTGCTCATAGCTGCTAGCTGCAAACCAAAAGTTATTCCAACAGACAACCATAAGAACCCTTCCCTACGACTCCAAAGCAGTAGCCATACTGCAAAAAATTCCCAATCCCCTATAACTTCCCTCAGCTATATGTGGAAGACAAGCTCCAGGCTACACTGGGAACCCGTGATGCAGGTTTGTCCCCCAAAAAACTGTTATTGTTGAACCACCTCTTCTATATCCCTCTGTACCTCCTTTGTTCAGTTCTTTCTTTACTGGGCCTGGGAACTTAACAGTATAAGGCCATTCTTTACCCCAGCCCTCTTCTTGGCTCTAGATGTGAACATTTACTCCAACATGAACTCCTGATATGAGTTTTCACCCTTGCCAGAGACTCAAACCAATAGGAATGTCCAATATTGAATATGAACCTAAAGACCACTCTTTATTTCACAAATACCCTGTCAGGAATTTTGTTGCAGTGACACAAAGCTAATACAAACAGAAAAAAAAAATCCATAAAGAATCACGTAATTTGGACTTGACTAAAAACTTCTCTGCTAAAGACATGTTTTAAAAAGGTGTCCTTGATTTGTCATTAGGAGATTACAAACTATGCAATGATATAACACTATACATCTATTTGAATGGCTAAAATTTAAGTTGGCAGTTTAAAAACTAAATATACTCTTAATATGTGATCCAACAAATTATGCTCTTTGGCATGTACCTAAATGAGTTGAAAACTTATGTCCACACATAAACTACACACAAAAGTTTGTAGCAGATTTATTCATAATTGTCAAATCTCGAAAGCAACTAATATGTCTTTCAATAAGTGAATGGATAAACAAACTGTGGCCCATCTATACAATAAAGTATTACCTCAAAACTTGAACATAAATCTACACAGTAGCTTTATTTGTAACAGCCCCAAACTGGAAACAACCCAAACATCCATTAACAACACAATGGATTTGAAAATGTGTCATAGA